TTTTTTAACCTGGAACTACTCTGTCCTCTATGGGTCTTAGCTATATCTTATACTTGCTCATATCAACCATCAGGAACTATCCCCCTGGTAGGAAACAAGAACTAGAGCGATCCAGTTAGCATAGGTGCTAATATCTGTTTCTGGGAATGTTGCCTGATATGAAAGAATATGAGGCCATTATCTGTTTTTTCTTTCTAGGTATTCTCAGTAAAAGAGAGGTAAACTTTAAAGCCTTCTCTAGTTCCTCTTATGTTTAAAAAAAATTCTCAAAACAATTTTGGTTTTAGTAGTGGAAAATTAATAAAACCAAGATGATTTTAAAGCTTTAATGTATACCAAGTTTTTCATTGATGATAAAATATATATTAGCAGGGTTAAGGTGTCTTGTAAAATTAAGCAAAACCTATCTGTTGTATAAAGCAATCTGATTGTTCAGTATTTCTCATCACTAACAATATAATTTTAAAAATCTTTGTAATAATCAGTTCTTGGGGAAATAAAATAAAAAATAATTATAACTTTAAAACATTTTAGGGGCCAGGGATTTAGCTCAGTGGTGCCGCCGCCTGCCTCACAAGTGCAAAGTCCCAAGTTCGATCCCAGTACCAAAAAAAAAAAATTTAGAGTTAAAATTTTTTAGAGTACACACTCATAATAAAAATTGGCCCAAACCTAACTGCTAGTAGCCATTAATCTAATTTCTGTTTATATGGATTTGTATATCTGGATTTATATAGATGGAATCACACAATATGTGGTTTCTTGTGTTGGCTTCTTTCACTTAACATAATGTTTTCAGACTTACGATGTAGATGTATTGGTGCTTTGTTCTTTTTTGTGGTTGAATAATGTTCCATTGCATGGATATAGCACATTTTATTTATCTTTTTATCAACTGATAGACACTGGATTAGTTCCACCTTTTAGCTATTATGTTTAGTGCCGCTGTGGACATTTTTGTACAAGTTTTGGGGGACATTGTTTTTGTTTTCATGGATATAGATACAGGAATGGAATCATAGGGTCATATAATGACTTATATTTAACCTTTTGAGAAACCATCAGACTATTTTACAAAGTGACCACATACTAGTTTACATTCTCACCAGCAGTACACACAAATACTTGTTCTATGACTTTTTTATTTTAGCCATCATGATACAACGAAATAGTATTTGATTGATATTTTGATTTTAGTTTCCCTGATGACTAATGATGTGGAACATATATTCATATGCTTTTTGGAGCAATATGCTATTTATAATAGAATCCTGATGAATAAAATTGTTTTGAAACCTATGAAGTAACTTTGTTGATTATAGTTTTAAAAACCACCACCACCCTTGGAAAAAGGGCTAGGAAAAAAAAAAAGACTGTCTGCATAGCCAAGAAACATCACAGAATCCTTCTGGCAAGGGCACAGCTTACATGACCAGCAGTGCAGTCCCTGAACCTTGCTACTGTATTTCACCCTAATCGCTGAATATTGCTATTGATTCTGCTATAAGAATTTATGACTTTTTAGTGTGCTGCTGAAGCAAGCACAGAATTTACCACTTTTTTACTTCTCTGTGCCACCAGCTTCAGATTCAAAATCCCAAACTAATGTATCTGAAGAAGAATTCCAAGTTATTTAACCTCATCCTGACTTTCAGTGAAGCTGATCTATCTAGAGGAAGAGAAGACTCAGAAGTGGGAAATTCTTCAAAGGAAAGGGTTTCACATTCTGATCATCTTCTGACCCCACCCAAAAGAAGAAAACTTGTGAGCCAAAAAATGTTTAATAATTGGGCAAAATTTTTTGCTGCTGTTGGTGAGGATCTTTTCAAATCAGATTTTATTCAACATGCTCAGTGTTTGAATACCTGTGAACAGTTAGCTGATGATATTGTTACCTGCTACACAGTAGAAATTAAAGTTGATATGGTCAGCATGAATTAATAGGCTGTAATTAGAAAGCAAGAGAAAATGATAAGAGACTTTAGTTTGAGGAGTAACAGCTGAGAGGAGGGGGGTAGGACTCTGACAAAGATCAAGCTGGACCCCAAAAAAAAGAAAGTAAGAGAAAATAGGGACTGGCCTTCAGTTTGAGAAACTGAAGGAGGTGCCAGTCTGGTAAAGAGAATCAGACTGGCCTGTTAAAAGAACAGGGACCAGGGCAAGGGATTTAGCTCATTGGTTCCACCACTTGCCTTGCACAAGCGCAAGGTCCCGAGTTCTATTCCTGGTACCAAAAAAAAAAAAAAAAGAACAGGGACCAGTTGTATGTGGTGCTGTGGTGGGCTCTAGAAGAGTCTTTCAGGCTTGAACACAACTTGAGGGACAGGCAGTTCAGTTCCCAGGAGATGATAGTTCTTGCTTGGGGGCAGCCTGGTTCCCCTTGTGGGATAATTGGGGAAGTGACCTCATCTTGGTGTGATCTGTGAGGCTCTGTTTTTCCTGGAGTCCAATGATTGAAGACTTGGGAGGTTGTAAACCTTGTCTAGAACTTCTAGGCATTACTCCAGAAGGTCTAGAACTGGACTTTGTGAAAGTTGGTTATTAGATGTCCCTGCAAATCCTGAAAATGACTTTAGTTACTTAGTAGCCTCAGTCTTAAAGGGAGATGGTATAGCCTAGGTAAATTTAGTGCTAACAAACCTTGTATTACAGACATTCTTTAAGTGACTAACATGGCTGCGTGCATAGCTGAGTAGGGATCTGACCTAAAGTTTTAAGGTAATGGAGACAAAACTGAAGGCAGAGATGCCAAGCTTCATCCTGCGTTTAGTTACCTATTGGCCTTCTGCAAGTACAGCCTCTAGGTTTCTGCTTCAATATCTTCTGTCAACTTAAAAAAAAAACAAAAACTGATGTCATTTGTGTAGGTAGAAGGTGGAGTAATAATCAATTAAGTGATTTTGCTGATTATGTACTTACCTATGTTATTTTTGATGGTGGAGCGACACATTAGAATTCAAACACTGAATTTTGCTCCTAATGTAACAAACAGTCTGGTACTTTGCAGTCAACTTATTTCTCTTTGGAAAATGAGAAAAAGTCTTTGCATTTGGAAGATGTTTGTTTTTCCTCAAACTAATTTTGTGAACCCATTGATCTATTAACATGTACCTTGTAATTTATGTACAGAGCGTTGTCTAGATGCTGTAGAGAATAAAAGAAGTAGATAGTGCCGGGAATTTAGCTCAGTGGCACCACACCTGCCTCGTAAGCATAAGGTCCTAAGTTCAATTCCTGGTACCAAACAAAACAAAACAAAACAAAAAGTTGAATGTGTTGTTGCATCCCTGCACTGGGAGGCTAAGGCAATAGGATCACAAGTTCAAGCCCAGCCTGGGGAACCTAGTGACTTAGCAAGACCTTGTCTGAAAATAAAGAAATAAAAAGGGTTGGAGGCCTAGCTCAGTGCAAAAGCCCTGAGTTCAATACCAGTTCTGAAAAAACAAAAAAGAAAGTAGGTAGGTATACTTTCCGCATAGTAGATATTATGTTATGACCACTAACCCAAAATCTGCATGTATATAATGATCCTGGGAACCAAAGCAATTTCACAGAACTTAGGAGTGAGTTGTGTGAACTTAGGAGTTTTTCTTGTGTGTTTAACGCATTTAAGTTTTTAAGTAAGGATTCCTATCTGTGAATAGAATGTGTCCTTTTCAACTCATACTATGGACTAATTTTAAAATTACCTTTTTTCCTCTTTTAAAAGTTTAATACAGTTTTTTAGTAAAATGAAGAAGTGGATGGACATGTTAAATCTGCCGCAAGAATTTCGTGAACGTATAGAAAGGCTAGAGAGAAATTTTGAAGTATCTACTGTAATTTTTAAAAAATTTGAGCCAATTTTTTTAGATATATTTCAAAATCCATTTGAAGAGCTACCAAAATTACCAAGAAGTAGGAAACAGAGGTAAGACCCTTAATCTTTATATATTGACATAAAGATTATCATACAAACTTATTGGGAGAGTTCTATTTCAAAAGTGGGCATTTTACCAGATGGATCTATTTGCAAAGACTTAAATATTTTAAAAATCCATGTATAGTTACCCATATCTGGAAATTCAGGGTAATACTTTCATTTGTTTTTGTATATTCCTATCTTTCATTAAAGATTGAAAAGGCTTATTTCAAAAGCCTTAGATTCAAAAGTCAGATTATCTGTCCTTCATGAATGGAATTTTACATGTGGTTTGACATTATTATTTGTTATTTATATTTGATGTTTCAAATTTTTTTGTTGTTGTTTCAACTTAAATGATAGTTACCAAGCTAGTAAAACACACACACACACACACACACACACACACACTTTTTATTTTCTCTTTTTAGGAGGATTCCTTGCAGTGTTAAGGATCTCTTTAATTTCTGTTGGACACTGTTTGTTTACACTAAGGGTAAGGTAACACTTCCGGTTTTACATTTCTGCTATGATTACATGGTGCTACTTGACTGAGAGAGTTCTGGGTTTTGTCTTTTTTTATACAGGTAATTTTCGTATGATTGGGGATGATTTAGTAAACTCTTATCATTTACTTCTGTGCTGCTTGGATCTTGTTTTTGCTAATGCCATAATGTGCCCAAATAGACAAGACTTGCTGAATCCATCATTTAAAGGTTGGATCTTTATTTATTTTTGAAAACTAATTATTAAATTTTTGGAAAAAGATTAAAAAATTGACTATTTTCCTCATTCCTGTTCCTCTTCATACTCTGTCAAACTAGGTTTGCCATCTGATTTCCATACTGCTGACTTTAGGGCTTCTGAAGAGCCTCCCTGCATCATTGCTATACTGTGTGAACTGCATGATGGACTTCTAATAGAAGCAAAAGGGATAAAGGAGCACTACTTTAAACCATATATTGCAAAACTTTTTGATAGGAAGGTACTGTACTTATAATTAAATGACTGATATACTTAGGGATTGTAAACAGTCTCAAAGGAAAAGATGTTCTCAACATTTTAGGTCTCAGGGTCAAGATTCTTGGGTTTCAGGCTCTGCTGAAATGTAGTTATATCTTCTGATTTTGTGTGATATAAGAAAAATTGTGCTTGGGCTGAGGGTTTGGCTCAGTGGTTCCGCCGCCTGCCTTGCAGGCGCAGGGTCCTGAGTTCAATCCCCCGTACCAAAAAAAAAAAAAAGAATGATTGTGCTTAAGATTGTGGCGAGTTATATTCACTGTCAAGTAAATGGATTGTCGGGCAATTCTAGAAGGTTATGATAAAGAATTCTGAAGAACAAAACAGAGTCAGCCTTATAAAAAATTATGAAAAACCAGAAGTCAAAGTAAGCTAATTTACTGCTACAATTTGAGCTGATTATAAAAAGTAGTATAACAACTACCACATTAATTCCATATAAATAGAACAGAAAATCCTCTATAGTTTTATAGCCACTCACAGATTACCTACATAGCCCAAGGTAGCCCAGAATTTAAGGCAGTCATCCTGCCTCAGCCTCCCAAGTGCTGGGATTATAGGCATGTACCACCATGCCCAGCAACCTGTTTTTTTTTTGTTTGTGTGTTTGTTTTGTTTAGTTTTTGTTTGGTTTTGGTACTGAGGATTGAACTCAAGACCTTGCGCTTGCAGGTGCAGTGCCAGTGAGCTAAATCCCTAACCCTGTTTTGTTTAGTGTTAATGATTCTTATAACTAAAATTTAGAAAGCACAACCATAGACTAACCTTAAAGTATTTTCAAAACTTGATTGATTGATTGATTGGTAGATTGATTATGGTGCTGGAGATCAGTAAAACTTGATTTTAAATGCTGTTTGTGTTTATTTTGTGGTATTGGGGATTGAATTACATCCCCAGTACATCCCCAATCCCCCCCCCCTTTTTCTTTTTTTAATCAGACAGGATTGCACTCAAGTCGTCCAGGCTACCCTCAAATTTGGGATCCTTCTGCCCCAGCCCCCTCAGTAGCTGGGAATATATTCATGTACATCAATTTAAATTTTTTAAAAATATATTTGCATGCTAATTAGGTTTTACTGGTCTTAAAGAAATGTTTAGTAATTTTTTTCTTTTCTTTTCTTTTTTTTTTTTTTGGTACCAGGGATCGAACTCAGGACCTTATACTTGTAAGGCAGGTGTGGTGGCACTGAGCTAAATCCCAGCCCCTCTTTTCTTGTGGTTTTATATCAATGTGAAATTTAAAGGAAATTTTATGTTTCTATGTGTATTAATATCTTTAATTATATAATGTTCTACAATGATTTTTCTTCCTAGGTTTTAAAAGGAGAATGCCTCCTTGACCTCTCCAGTTTTACTGATAATAGGTAAGTATCTAGCATTAATTGTGTCTGACATATTGTAGGCTGCTAATAATTATTTGTTAAAAGCCAGGCTTAGTGGCACATGCCTATAATCCCAGGACCCTTGAAGCTGAGGTAGGAGGATCATCACAAATATGAGGCCAACCTAGGCTACATAGTAAGTTTAAGGCCAGCCTGAAATACATAATAATGAGACCCTGTCTCAAAAAATAAAACAAAACATAAAAATTATTTGTTCAAGTTTATTAAGTGACATGTACATCAAGGTAACTTTTCCAAATTCAAATTCTCTCTGCTTCAGTGGCGTTGAATGGGTATTGTCACTAAGCCTTGTTGGTTTATATTTAAGAAATCATTGGCATTTAAAATAACTATACTTGTCTGGGTGTGGTGGTGCATGCCTTTAATCCCAGCACTCAGGCAGCTGAGGCAGGAAGATCACTGCAAGTTCTAGGCCAGCCTATGAGTGCAACTACAGCCTCAACTATACAATGAAACCCTGTCTCAAAAAACAACAACAAAGGGGCCCGGGGATTTAGCTCAGTGGTTCCAATGCCTACCTTGCAGGCGCAAGATCCCAAGTTCCATCACCGGTACTCAAAAAAAACAAAAAACAAAAACAAAAAATAGCTATACTCTCCTGAAAAATTCATACAGGAGCTGAAGGACTTCTACATTTGTTTTGTTTTGTTTTAAAGAAATTTTTGGGGTCCATTTTAAATATATATAATGATAACATTAATCATAGGAAGTTTGTACCTATACATGATATATCTTGATTCTTCTTTTTTTCCCATTCCTCTCCCTTCCCTTCAACCCATTTTCCCCTACTTATTTACAAAAGCTTTGTGTCCATTTTTTTCTTCTGTGATCTTTTTTTTTCTTATCCCTTCCTTCCTCAGGCTGAGGAAAAAACCATCTATTCCAATTTTCTGCAGGATTTTTATCTTGAATGAGTGTTGAACATTCTCAAACACTTTTTCTGCATCTCTTGAAATGAACAATGGTTTTCGCCCTTAGCTCTGTTAATATGGCATATTACATTTATTGATTTGCATATGTTGAAGTTGAACCCTGCATCCCTGGGATAAGACCTGCTTGGTCATGGTGTTTAACCATGATGATTTGCTGCATTCTATTTGCCAGTATTTGATTGAGGATTTTTGTGTGTGTTCATTAGGGAGATTGTCCTGTAGTTCTCTTATTAGGTTAGATCCTTCTCTGGTTCTGGTATTAAGGTAATACTTGTATCCAGGAATGAATTTGGGAGTATTGCTTCCCTTTCCATTTCATTAAACAGTTTGAGAAGTAGTGGCATTAGGTCTTCTCTAAAGTTCTTGTAGAATTCAGCAATGAATCTGTCAGGGTCTGGGCTTTTCTTTGTTGGTAGGTTTTTAATGATGTCTTCAATTTCATTGACTGATACTGGTTTATTTACAGTTTTTATATCTTCTTGATTCAGCTTTGGTAATTCGTATATATCTAGGAATCTGTACATTTCTTCTGTGTTTTCCATCTTATTACAACACAGGTTCTTGAAGTAGGTGTTGATGATCTTCTGGATTTCTGCAGGATCTGTTGTAATTTCACCTTTTTCATTCCTATTGCATGGATTTGTGTCTTTCCTTTTTTTGATAAGGTTGGCTAAGGGTTTGTCAATTTTATTTAATCTTTCGAAGAACCAACTCTTCCATTTGTTGATTCTTTGTATTTTTTCCTTAGTCTCCATTGCATTAATTTCTGCTCCAATCTTTATAACTTCCTCCCTTGTACAAGCTTTGGGGTTGACTTGCTCTTCTTTTTTCTAGGAGCTTGAGATTAAACTTTAGGTTGTTTATTTGAGCTTGCTCTGTTTTTCTGAAATGAGAATTCACCGCTATAAATTTCCCTTCTGGACTGCTTTCATTGCATCCCATAAGTTCCAGTATATTGTATTGACATTGTTGTTTAATTGTAGAAACTCTGATTTCTTCTTTAGTTTCATCTGTGACCCATTGGTTTCTCAGGAGGATGTTGTTTAATTTTCAAGTGTTTATGAAGTTCTGTGGTTTCTTTTGGCATTAATTTCCAATTTCATTGCACTATGGTCTGATAATGTTCATGGGATAATTTCAATTCCTTTGGATTTACTTAAGCATGTTTTGTGAACTAGTATGTCATTTATTCTGGAGAACATCCCATATGCAGCTGAGAATATGTATTCTGATGTTGTGGGGTGGAACACTATAGACATCTACTAAGTGCATTTGTTGAAAAATTTGGTTCAGTTCTGATATTTCTTTGTTGATTTTTTTGTCTAGTTGATCTATTTGTGACAAGGGAGTATTGAGGTCCCTCATTACAGTTATTTTAGTGCTTATTTGATTTTTCATGTTCATTAATACTTTCATATAGCTGGGTGCACTGGTATTTGGTGCATATATATTTATGATTGTTATCTCTTCCTCTTTTGGATTGTTCCCTTTAGAAGGATATAGTGACCTTCTTAATCAGTCTTGGCCTTAAATGTACTCTGTCTACAAGTAGAATAGCTACCCCTTCTTTTTTCCAGGTTCTTGTGGCATGCAGTATTGTTTTCCATCCTTTGACTTTCATTTTGTGAATTGCTTTTTGAGTTAAATGTGTTTCTTGTATGCAGCATATTGTTGGATCTTGCTTCTTGATCCAATCTGCTAGTCTGTTTCTTTTGATTGGTGAATTGAGATCATTTCCTTTCATGCTTATAACTGATATGTATTGACTTATCCTTGTCATGTTATTTTCTTGTTGTTGGCTACCCTTTTTTCCCCCCTCTGTTTAATTGCTTACCTTCATGTTGGATTCATTGTGTTGAGGTTCATGGAGTTGGAATCCTTGTTATCTCTTTCTAGAATGTCCTTCAGAACATTTTGGAATGCTGGTTTGGTGGTCATGAATTTCTTCAGGTGTTCTTTGTCATGGAAGTATCTTATTTCTCCATCAAAGTTGGTTTTTTTTTGTGGTAGCGGGGATTGAACTCGGGACCTTGCACTTGCGCAGCAGGCACTGAACCACTGAGCTAAATCCCCGGCCCCCTCCATCAATTTTGAAAGATAGTTTTGCGGGGTACACAATCTGGGTTGGAGGTTGTTTTCTTTCAGGACTTGAAATACTTCACTCCAAGCTTGTCTTTACTTGATGGTTTGTGTTGAGAAGTCTGCTGTGATTCTGATGGGCTTTCCTTTTTATGTGATTTGTTTCTTTTCTCTTAACAGCTTTTAATATTCTGTTCTTGTGTTGATTTTCTGGAATCTTGACTATTTTATGCCTTGGTGTAGTTTTTTTTTTTGGTACCAGGGATTGAACTCAGGGCCTTGTGCTTTCAAGGCTGGCGTGGCCACTGAGCTAAATCCCTGGCCCTCAGTGGCATTTTTAATCATCTGGATATCTGTTTGAATCTGTTTTATGGATTCTATTTCATTCCTTTGTTGGAAATTCATGGTTTTCATCATTTTTCTATGCTCTTCTATTCTTTTTTTTTTAATTTGTGTCTGCTCTAGAGTCACTAGCCATGTCTTTCATTATGGTGAGATGGTGATCTCTGTAGTTTTTTGAGAAACTATTTCTGATTGGGTTTTTTTCTAGAGCATCATTCATCTGATGTCTTACGCTCACTATTCCCACTTCAGGGAGTGATAGTGGGTGGCTTTCAAATTTTTCTATCTCATTCCCCCTGGATTGGCCTTTGGCTAGCTGGAAGTCTGGGGTTGCATTTTGTAAGCAAGAGTGTCTTCTTATTTTCTTTTTTCTTAGTTTGATTCCTGAGTTAATGCTTATAAATTGCTTATGGCAAGTAGCTTTATTGCTAGTATGGAGAACCCTTAATAAATGACTACCTCTTAGAGATGTCGTCCAGGTATAGCTGGCATTTGGGTTTTGAGTCTGTTGCAAGATCTTACCTCTTCAATTTATTGGGATGACAAGTTGCTGCCTATTTGGCCTAGCCCCTGGTTCTTTGGCAGTGGCTTATAGCATTGTTTTTCTTATATTTTATTATTTCTTTTGTGGTACGGGGGATGGAACTCAGAACCTTGCACTTGCCAGGCAGCCGCAGTGCCACTAAGCTATATCCTTGGCCTGGTTTATAGCATTGTTTATGACCCTTAGGGAATCTCCATCTTTTTGTTTTGTTTTGTTTTGTTTTGCTACCAGGGATGAACTTGGGTCCTTGCACTTGCACAGCAGGCTGTGAAACCACTGAGCTAAATCCCAGGCCCTAGGCAATCTCCATCTTAGTATGCAAGGAAGAACAACTGATTAGAACGATTATGTCACCTTGGCTAACTAGTACATTCAGCAATAATAATAGCATCAAACATAGCCTAGAAAAATGACAAACTGTGATAACTGTTAATTTGCCATCTTTCACCATATGCACAAGATTTGTACTTATATAACAAAATCTAAGCTGGGGATTTAGCTCAGTGGTTCCGCCACCAGCCTCAAAAGCGCAAGGTTCCAAGTTCGATCCCCGGTACCAAAAACAAACAAACAAAAAATAATAGAGAAAATCTAAAACAAACCAGAGAATTGTATACAATAAATTTTCCCTTAATATGATAATTTTACCTTCAAGGGAGAAAGTTTAAAAGGGGTTAGAGGGAAAAAAATAGAGAAATACAAGAAGAGGAAGAGAGTAGAAGCAAGGCTAGAGAAAGGTATTGAAGTTTCAGAAACTTGTGAAAAAGACAAAGAAAGAAAAAGAATAAAAAGAACAGAACAACAAAAACAAGAACACTAGAAACAATGTTGACACTCATAAAAATAAGATCAAAGAACAAAAGAAAAGAAAGTAAAAATTTGAAAAAAGAAAAAGAATGTCCACTTCAGGGCATGTCTCTGCTGTCACTGGTAGAATAAGCAGACAGAACCCAGATCTGTGTTGATTTAGTCCCAGCAAGCCATCTGTAAATTTTTGGTGAGGTAGTGGATAATTCCAGCAAGCTTGCACTGTTAGTTCCACTAAAGTTCAGGCTGGTTTCTGGCTGTGAGGCTGGAGCCCAATTTTTTTTTTTTTTTTTTTTTCTAGAGGGTTATACAGTGTGCCGTGTGAAACTTCATCATTTGGAGCACAGTTTTTTCAGCCTGCAACAGTCCATGTGCCTCTTGCCAGCTTGAACTCAGCTCCTTGACCTTCTGCTGACTTGAACGCAGTTTCACCTCACCCTGACACTAAGAGTTGCTAGATGGAGTCATCTCAAAGCTGCTCTGAGTTCCGTTGGCCTCTCTCCAAGATGGCTAACTAGCCAATCACCCTCTCCTGGGGAATGCCTGAACCTTAATAACTCACCAGTCAATGCAGTCTGCTCTGTCCACTGTTCCATTCCACTTCTGTGTTTCTCTGTGGAGGCCTCTGGGGTAACCATTAGTCACCATGTGTCTGCAGGTTCAAGCTGCCTCTCCTTTGCAGTGTGTCAGGGCTCAGGGAGAATGTGCTGCTTACCGCCTCCGTTTTCTGCATTGAGGTCTCTTTTTTCAATCTCCCAGTGAGCTTCAATTCTTCCTTCAGATCCTTGCTTGGCCTTGGGAATCCATTTACCTCCTTCTTATGTTCTTCATGTTGCTGTATTCCAGTGTTTGGATACCAAATGGAGAAGCTCTTTCTCTGGTAGTTACAATTCTGCCAACTTCCCAAAATTGTCCCCTACATTTGATTTTATATTCTTCTATTAATGAAATGTTAACAAATTCAGAATGCCCATATTTCAAAACCATGATTGTTTCCTCAGTGATCAGATACCATTTTATTTTACTGAATTAACTAAAACTACTTTTTAGATTAAATATGCATTCCATTTTCTCTTATTTTTTGAAATAATTTATTCCTGAGTGTGTGAATGTAAAGAATGTCCATTATCAGGTAGGAATCTCTGAAACTGAAGTTAATAAAAACTAGAAAACTGTTAGTTCTCCCAAGCCATGGGTTCAAGATTATCTTCAAGTCAAGATTAATTCATTGAATAACTTAGTTTTTTTCTAACAGCTTAAAATAATTCTCTGGGCCGGGGATTTAGCTCAGTGGTTCTGCCGCCTGCCTTGCAAACACAAGGTCCCAAGTTCGATCCCCGGTACCAAAAAAAAACCAAAATAACAAAAAAAATAATTCTGTTTGCAGCAAAGCAGTGAACAAGGAGTATGAAGAATATGTTCTAACTGTTGGTGACTTTGATGAGAGGATCTTTTTGGGAGCAGATGCAGAAGAGGAAATTGGAACGCCACGAAAATTCACTGGTGACACCCCATTAGGAAAACTGACAGCGCAAACTAATGTGGAGTGTAACCTTCAACAGCATTTCGAAAAAGTAATATTACCTAGCCTGGCCTCAATCTTTTTCTTACTCTGTGTGATTCTACTAACAGCAGAAGCATCTTTCAAGTTAAATCTTGAGTTTCTTCTACTAATTCATATTTCCCATGAAAGCCTTAAAAGGTAATTTTTAGAACTATGATATCAGCATTTTATTATGTTTCTTGCTGTTAATCATATTTTGGATCTGTTTCCCAGAACACCTGGGTTTATCATATATAACAGTATGTGTTTTTTGATGTAAAGAAGAATTTATGCCTTTTTACCATTCTTTCTTTGCTTCAACTACGCGTGTATTGTGTTGCTTTAAAATTTAGCTTGCATTATTACCCATTGCACAAACTATGCTCTTCTCTGACTGCTGCTATATACCTCCAGACTTGATTGATAATGGCCAAGACTTAATTCTGTATTTATGTGTGAAATGGGTTGTAGGATGAAGTCTAATTGAAAATTCACTGATCTAGAAGATTGAAAACCTAAGTTTTACTTCATTCTCTGTTATTAACTTTGTTAGTTTAAACAAATTTTTAAACTTTTCTGTTCATTTCCTCATATGTAATATAAAAATAGGTATATGTGACATTTCAAATGGAGTGTATGGGGGTGTGATACTAGAGATTCAACATAAAGCCTTGGAACTGAGCAGCATCCCAGCCTTTTTTATTTTTTATTTTGAGAGATGGTCTAAGGTGTCCAGGCTGGGCTCAAACTTGCAATCCTCGTGCCTCAGCCTCCCAAAGGGCTTGGATAACCGGTATGCTCAAATGAGTTTTATGAAGATGAAATGAGATCATAGTGTTTTGAAAAAGTATTGTTCAAATGTATAGATATTATGCTGTTGCTCAAAGTGTAGTGGGTCTCCAGAAAAGGATGAAAAACAACTCAGCAGTAAAGATAAATAGAGAATATGTTACATGTACTGAACTAAAGATATAAGAGGTTTCGGCACCTGCCTCACAAGCGCAAGGTCCCGAGTTTGATCCCCGGTACAAAAGAAAAAACAAAAAAGATATAATAAGAGGGAAGATAATTATTTAATATCATAGATTTTTGTTTTCCTGCAGAAAAGATCATTTGCACCTTCTACCCCACTGACAGGAAGAGGATATTTACGAGAAAAAGAAACAGTCATTACTCCTGTTGCTTCAGCCACCCAAAGTGTGAGCCGTTTACAGACTATTGTGGCTGGACTGAAAAATGCACCAAGTAAACAACTTACAAATATTTTTGAGTAAGTACTATACTGTTATTTTTATAAATGTATTTTTAAAATTAGATTCTTTATCACATTCTGTTTCGTTGTAGTCATAATCCTCTAGGTAGTAGATGTAGCAAGTCTTGCTATATCATTTCTATCATAAAGTAAGTTGACGTAAAATCAGTCATACCTATTAAAAATTATATAGATGAGGGCCAGGGATTTAGCTCAGTGGTTCCGACGCCTGCCTCGCAAGCGCAAGGTCCCAAGTTCGATCCCCAGTACCAAAAAAAAAAAAAATTATATAGATGAGCCAAGTGTGGTAGCACATACCTATAATTCCAGCACTCGGGAGGCTGAGGCTGTTTGAGGCCAGCCTGAGCTCCATAGTGAGACCTTGTCTCCAAAAAAAAAAATTATATAGAGGGCCAAGTGTAGAGGTGTATGCCTATAATCCCAGCTACTTGGAGGATTGAGGAATAGCATTACAAGTTCAAGGCTAGTCAAGGATGGTTAACTTAGCAAGATCTTGTCTCAAAAAAAATGTATAAGGGACTGATCAAATTATGTTATGTTCATGTGTGAATCTGCCAAAATGCAACTCATTAATCTATATAAAATGGATCAAGGTATAGTTGAGTGGTGGAGGCATAGATAAATAGATATAATTTTTATTTCACAAAATTAAAGACTTTCAAGTATATCTTAAAGATAATTTAGCTCTGACATTTCACTCTTCTTATTACCCCTGTGTCATGTATTTTTTATTTTTAGATTGACTTTGAATGGGCTCAATTTAATGTCATCAAAAGGGGAGACTGATTACGTATTGGTGGTATAGTTACAAAATGGAATTTTATGTAGTTCTGGTTTTGGGGGGTGGGTTTTTTGGTTTTTTTGGTACCGAAGACCGAACTCAGGACCTTGCACTTGTGAGGCAGGTGGCAGAACCACTGAACTAAATCCCTGGCCCTGTAGTTCTGTTTTAAAGAGGCATGTTTTCTGATAAAGATGGTGGAATGAAGCCACCAAATCTGGAGGCTTCACACTTTCTCATTTCAAAACATATTACAAAGTTATAGATCAGAGAACCTTTTTTCCTTATACCTAATGAAATAAGAGAATAGTAAACACTGACAAAAATATTGGGTGTGCCATCCTCAAGAAACAGTACTGGGGAGAGAGGTTATATTGATAAAATCTAGAGAATACTCATTTTCTCTAGATTTGGAGAGAAACAAATGGGCCTTCAGTAAGCAGAGGTGTAAAAATTCACAGAAACCTCCCCAAGTGAAAGTCCCTGTGTACTACCACCAGGATCTCAGCAGAACTATGAAAATCTGCTAGAGGCTACTATTTTCCAGGATTCTATTATAATCTGTGGCAGGAGCTTCATGAAACTAGAAAAGCCAGGTGTGGTGGCGCAAGCCTGTGATCCCAGCACTTAGGAGGCTGAGGCAGGGGGATTGCCACAAGCTCAAGGCCACTCTGAACTACCATGGCAAGACCTTGTCTCAAAAAACAAAAGCAAACAAAAACAAATGAAACTAGAAGACATCTCTGAGACTACTAGGTATAAGGAATTCTGGAATGGAGACATTTAACTAAATCTCAGAAGAGAAAGCAAAGCCCTAATCTTCCACAGAAGCTACACGTAGCATCAGCTGAGCTCTTCCCCATTCCCCAAACCTTCATTTATAGGAAAGTAGACAGAACAACCCCAGTCTCAAAACTAGCTCAGAAGATAGGTAAGTTGCAGGTAAGGTGGGAATACTGTCGTGAAGCTCTTCCTTAGCATTTGAGTAGACTGCTTTGTATTGTATACTCATTTAAGCATGGGTAAGTTGAAAAAAGTAGCAAGACAATTAATTATACAAACATTTTATAGCAATAAGAAAGGGAAGGAAGGAAGCAAGTGTAGAATACAAAAGGTAAAGAACCCAGATGAAAATAAATGAGGGGACATCTCACATTCATGGATTTAAAGTCTTAATGTTAAGATATTTATTTTACACAAAATGATCTATAGATTCAAGTAATCTTTATCAAAATTCCACTGGCAGTTTTTGCAGGTACAGGAAAAAAAAACATTCTAACATTCATATGGAAACTCATAAGACCCTGAATAGCCAAAACAAAAAGAACAGCAAAGCTGGAAGCTTCACACTTGCTCATTTAAAGCATGTTACAAAGTTACAGTAGTCAAACAGGAGAGTATTGACAGACAAATCTGTAAACCAGGGCAGGGAGCACAGAAATAAACCCTCATGAAGCACAAGGTCCGGAGTTCGATCCCCGGTACCAAAAATAAAAAGAAATAAGCCCTCATGTATACAGTCAAGTGATCTTTGACAAGGATACCAACACTATATGATGGAGAAAGAATAGTTTTTTCAATAAATGGCACTGCAAAAACAATGTCCACATGCAAAAGAATAAAGATATTAAACAGTATTTGAAAATTAATGAAAATGCATTAAAGACCTAAATGTAAGACCTGAAACTATAAAACTTATAGAAGAAAACACAAGGGGAATGCTTTATAACATTCAAATGTGCGGTGATATCTTGAATATGATACCAAATACAAGTAACAAAATAAAAAATAGGCAAATGAGGGCCAGGGATTTAGCTCAGTGGTACCACCACCTGCTTTGCAAATGCAGGGTCCTGAGTTCAATCTCTGGTACCAAGAAGAAAAAAAAAAGGCAAATGAGACCACTTAAAACTTAAAAACTAGCTGGGTGTGGTGGCAAACACTTGTAATTCCACTACTTGGGAGGCTGAGGGAGGAGGATCACTGTGAGTTTGAGGCCATCCTGTGTTTCATAGTTGAGTTTAAGGCTAACCTGAACTATATAGCAAGACCCTGTCCCAATCTCCCCCGCATTGAATGGAGTCACACTATGTCAGATAAGGAGTTATGATTGGAATGCATAAAGAATTCATACAGCAAGGGCTGGGGATTTAGCTCAGTGGTTCCACCGCCTGCCTTGCAAGTGCAAGGTCCCGAGTTCGATCCCCAGTACCAAAAAAAAACAAAAAAATAACCCCAAAGAATTCATATAGCTCAATAACAAAAAACAATCTAATTAAAAATATGTAAAGAATTCAAATAGATATTTCTCTAGAGGAGATAAACAAATGGCCAATAAGCATATGAAAAAATACTGAACATCCATCAGGAAAATGCAGTCAAACCCACAATGAGAAATCACCTCAAATCCATTAGGATGGCCACTGTCTCCCCACTACCACCAAAAATGAAAACAAAGTAGCAAGTGATGGTGAGGATGTAGGGAAATTAGAACCCTTGGGAATTCTTGGTAGGATTGTAAAATGATAACAACCATTATGGAAAACAGTATCAAGTTTCCTCAAAAAGGAAAGAAAAAGTAAAAGTGGGACTACCATATGACCTTGCAATACTACTTCTGGAAACATATCCAAAAGAATCGAAAATAGGATTTTAAAGAGATATTTGTACACCATATCCACTGCAGCATTTTTTTTTTTTTGGTACCGGGGATCAAACTCGGGTCCTTGCGCATGCGAGGCAGGTGGCAGAACCACTGAGCTAAATCCCCAGCATGCAGCATTATTTATAATAGCCAAGATGTGCAGCAACCAAAATATTTATGGATGGATGAATAAAAAAACAGTGTACGTATACCAGTCATGGTGAACCTTTTAAAAGTTGAGTGCCCAAACTGCAACCCCAAACCCACTTATTTGTCGCTAAGTGCCAACACTGCAGGTAAACCTGCATACTGAGGTTTTAATTTAGAAAAAACACCTCATACATTGCTACAACACAAATGAACTTTTAATACATTATCCTAAGTGAAATAAGTAAATGACAAAAAGACATTACATGATTCCATTTATATGAGGTTTATTCCATTTATGAGGTATGTAAAGTAGTCAAATTCATAAAAACAAAAATTCTTTAATATATAAAAATATATAATTATTTTATGTGAAATTCATATCTTTATGTTACTTTACATATGTAAAGTTCTGCTTACATTTGTAGGTTTTCAACAGAAAATAGAACTTTGACCAAAAAAACCAAACTAATTCTCAAAAGGAAAAATGTGGGTACCCTAGATTTTTTCCTAATAACTACACTCCTCTTGTACTTTGTAGATCTTGTATGCGGAATCCTATGGAAAACATTATGAAAATAGTGAAAGGAATTGGAGAGACTTTCTGCCAACGCTATACTCAATCAACAGATGAGCAGCCTGGATCTCACATAGGTAAGAAGACAAAACTAAAGTCGGCACAGGATTGAAAGTAAATAGATTGTTCCCAAAATTAGAAATTCAAATTTTTGTGCCTTTTTTTTGTTTTTTTAAACTAAAGATCACACTCAGGGCATCATGGATACCAGGCAAGCACTACCGTACTGCTAATCTAGACCCCAGTGCTTCTTTTGGTACCTTGTGCTTGCGAGGCAGGCATCGGCACCACCGAGCTAAATCCCTGGCCCTAGACCCCAGCTTTTAATGTACCAATTTAAGTTAAAGTTTTGTTCTTCTGTAAGACCGCTGTCCCTACCAAACGCCCCTCCCAGGGATCCCAGCGGTGCCTCTAGAATGTAAGGCCAAGAGCCTTACCAGATGCTCCAAGGAGCTGACTGTAGTGGAGCACACCCAGGGATCCCAGCGGTGCCTCCAGAATGTAAGACCAAGGGCCTTACCAAATGCTCCGAGGAGCTGACTGCAGTGAAGCACACCCAGGGATCCCAGCGGTGCCTCCAGAATGTAAGACCAAGGGCCTTACCAAATGCTCCAAGGAGCTGACTGCAACGAAGGAAACAGCGGACGGCACTCCCAAAGCAAAGTAGCTTAGAGAGGCGTCAGTCCAGAGTCGAGGCTCTTTTTATAGGGGCTTACAGGGAAGTTAACAGGTGAAATTTACAGAAGAAGGAACAAAGGTTAGTGGTTTTACATTTGTATGTTAATTAGCCTGACATGTACTGATAGTCAGCAGATGCTTTGTAGATTGTTCTATAGATAGTGGTGGGGAACAAAGAGTTAGATAATTACGGCTGATACAGATCTTATCTAGTGTCCTGGAACTAAGAAGCATCTTTATCTATTTACTCACTTTCAGTCACAGTTGGGGCTAGGGGAGTTTTATGATTACCGAGTTATGCAGTCCTACATTTCAATCCTTACTAGATTTAATAGCATGTGCTTTTTCTTTATTTCCTTTTAGACTTTGCTATAAACAGATTAAAATTGGCAGAAATTTTGTATTATAAAATACTAGAGACTGTAATGGCTCAGGAAGCACGAAGACTTCATGGAATGGACATGTCAGTAAGTAAATCCATGCCACCCTGCCAGCCACTGACAAGATCCAGAAGTTCTAGCCTGGAAGCAGTGCTTTGAGAAACTCTAATAGAGTATTATGGAGGTCAGCAGTTTATGGTAAACTTGGCCAACATGACATTTTAACTCACTTTAGTTGATTTGGCACATCTAAGGTTAACCTTGTCTAGGCAGAAATGTGAAATATTGTATGTAAAAGTCATCTTCAGTATACTGTCAGTGTTCTTTTAGATTTTGGTTTTTGTTTTTGACTTTTGTCTTTCATTTCCAAGTAGTAACAACAAATCTCCTTCAACTATTAAGCTGATAATTAAGATATTTATGTTCATACCTCCTAGAGTTTTTTGGATTATAAGTGGTGATCATTTTCCTTAAAAAAAAAAACAACTTTTTTCTTTGAACATTTAACTAATTATGACCACTCTCTCCAATAGCTGCATAAAAGAATTGTTCTATAAAGTTAAACCTTAGCATATGATCTTTCAGTCTTTCAGTCTAGTCTTTCTTCCCCCCTTCCCTTATATCCTTCTCTCTTGTGATTTACCCTGGTCTTTGCCTCCCCCCGCCCAGTACTGGGGATTGAACCCAATGCCTTCACATTGAGCTATATCCCTAGCCTTTTAAAGATTATTTTATTTCTTATTCTTTGCGGGGGGAGTGGTATGAGCTAAACCCAGGGCTTTCTGCACTGACTTATATCCCAAGCCCTTTTCTTATTTCTTGAGTCAAGGTTTCGCTAAGTTTCCCAGGATGGGCTTGAACCGATCCTTCTGCCCCAACTTCCCAGAGTGCTAGAATTACACATGTGCACCACTGTGCCCACCTACCCTAACATCTGTAGTACAGAGACCATGGTGGTATGCACCTATAATCTCAGCTACTTAGAAGGCTGAGACAGGATGATCACAAATTCACACTACTCCTGGGAAGCTTAGTAAGACTGTCTCAAAATAAAATTAGAAGGGCGGGGGACTTAGCTTAGTGTTAGAGCACTTGTCTAATGTGTAAGGCCTTGGTTTTAGTCCCCACTCTCACTCCCATATACACATCCCTACACACACAGTACAGGGAGATCCTTTATACCCTTTATGCATTTTCCCCACTGGTTACAATTTATACAATACAGTATCAAAACCAAGAAATTGACCCTGAAATAATGTGACTGGGCCTAGTGGTGCACACCTGTAATCCTAGTATTTAGGAGCCTGAAGCAGGAAGATTGCTGTGAGTTCAAGCCCAGCCTGGACTACACAGTAAGTCAGGCCCAGCCTGAACTACATAGACCCTGTCTCAAAAAAACAAAACAAAGTGCCGAGGATTTAGCTCAGTAGTGCCAGTGCCTTCCTCGTAAGCACAAGGTCCTGCATTCAATTCCCAATACCAAAATAAAAATAATAACAATGTTTATATCTCTTTAAAGTTGTGACATCTAACCACCACACAAGCAAGATACAGTGGTAGGGGAATAGGGTCTAAGACCCCCAGTTGATGTCTGAAACTGCAAGTGGTACCTAATCCTGTGTATGCCTTTTCCCTGCACAATTATAAAGTTTAATTAAGGCATAGTAAGAGATTAACAGCAATAACTAATACAATATAGAGTTAATTCCAACAATATACCATAATAAAAGTTAAATAAATTGTTGTCTATCTCTTAGATTATTGTACTTTCATCTTTTCACTTAAAGGAAGCACTTTATGATTTCTCATTAGCCTATGTAAATTGCCAGCATCACTATTGTTCTTCATGGCCATTATTAAATAAAATAAGGGTTACTTGAATACAAGTGCTGTAATACCCCTGTGACATGACTAGTAAACAGTAGCATATACAGTATGGATTACTCTAGACAGAGGGATGATTCACATCTGGAGAAGGGTGGAGTGGACAGCATGATGTTTCCTCACACTATTCAGAATAGCACACAATGTAAAGATTATGAAATGTTTATTTCTGGAATTTTCCAAAAATTTTCAGATTAAGGTTAATTGTGGACAAATGAAAACTCAGAAAATATAACCACAGATAAGGGGGAATTACTGTACTACTGTATAGAACTAGTTTGTCACCACAGAGATCTCCCTTATTTTGTCTCCTTACACTCAAACACTGCCCTCAACCACTACTCTGTTTTCCATTTGTTGTTTTTTTGGTTTTGTTTTTATATTTTTAACCATCAAAAACCTCATGCATGCTACTTCATTGTGGTACATCTCCAACACATTGATTTTTTTAAATTCAGGTTAAACATATCTCCTCAAACTTTTTTTTTTTGGTACCAGGGATCAAACTTGGGACCTTGCATTTGCAAGGCAGGCGGCGGAACCACTGAGCTAAATCTCCGGCCCAATTGATTTTTAATTTTGAGACAGACTCTTGCTAAGTTGCCCAGACTGGGTTCTAGCTAACAGCTGTCCTCTCTTAGCCCCCTAAGTAGCTGGGATTTAAAGGTGTGTATCACCAAGCTTGGCCCACTTCTATAATTTTGTAGCACACTCTGTATGAATTCAGTTCTTTTAAATTTATTGAAGTTATTGCTCAAAATATGGTTTATCTTGATATTTTATAGACATTTGAAAAGGATGTATGTTATGCTATTCTTGGGTGGAATGTTATATAAATATCAGTTATATCTTGTTGGTTGATGGATTGTTGATTTCCATTTACTTTCTGATTTTCTTTCTTTCTATTCCTTTGTCTTTTTTATCTTAAGGATATTTACTTAAGTTTTCATCATCTAGACCTAATGAATGTGTTTTGTATTTGAGACAAGGTCTTCCTCTGTAGACCAAACTGGCCTGGAACTGGCTGTATAACTCACCTGGCCTTGAACTCAAAATCCTGTGTCAGCTTCCTGAGTGCTGGGATGATAGGCATGCATTTCTTTGATTTCTTTTTTTTTTTTTTAATTCCCTTTACCTACTGTGTCTCCTCTTTGACCTGTGTATTTCAGTTAGAAGTTTTCCTCAACTATTGGGTTATTCTTGGTTGCCCACTTATGTTCGAATAAGGCACTAAAACTTTAATTCAGGAGTGTGCAAGAATAGGGATAAAAGTCCAGTGGCTTCAGATGATCAGATTGAATTAAGGACTCTTGCCTATTGATGTTTTATAGGCTTTTCTGAAATACTTTGATTTCTCCAAAACAGATCTTCTAAGCTCTTGCCTGACTCTTGATGTTGTAGAGCAGAACAAGAAAGGGAAATTTGATCTCATAGTTCAGTCTGCAGATTTTCACCAAAACCCTTTTCTTCTGTGCTTGATAATCTATAGCTCTGTCTCTGGTTCAGTTTCTCTAGAAAATAATTCAGACTCCTGTAGTGATAGACTGTAGGTCTGTCATTTGACCCTTTAGAGGTGGTTGGGTGGGACCTAAGGGGCTCTACCTTCTATATAGATTTTCATATCATGAATCACTCAGCCTCTGCCTTATCCCTAACTTCCATTCTGCCCATGCCCCCAGTTGCTCTATCTTCTCCAGAGTTCATGGGGTAAACTTAAGTGTTTCTCTACAGGCCCTTATATGTGAGTGTCCTCCTGTTTGCTGAGTAATTTATCATCTTTCCTCCTTGTTTCAGTAGTTTGTATTTACAAGTGCTCCTACTTTTATCCAGGATGGTCTTGAACTCTCTGTGTAACTCATGCTGGGCTCAAACTTGAAATCCTCCTGCCTCAGCCTCCCAAGGGCTGGTATTACCCACATGAGCCACCACACCCACCTGAGTTTCTTTTCTTATTACCTTTATTGATTTGGGATGATAGGTGACAAATATTATCTTTAAAACTGAAAACATATCAGATCTTAAATTCAGTGGTAAGAGAGGACTTTATCTTCTCAATAAAATATTTTTCTCTGAGTTTTTTTTTTACTTAGCTGTTACATTGCCTTCCATTTCAGCATTTTGACTAATAGACATTTATGCTGAGAGAACAGCTGTCACTCAGAAGAAAAAGAACCAATCCTAGTGCTTTTCTCTTGATGGAAATAATGATTATTTTATTATCTTTAGATTTCAAAGCAGATTGTTATATACACTTCATTTGAATGTAAGATCTACCACTGAACAAGATTAAATATAAGAAAACTTTACCAGTTTGAGATCTATTCTCCCCTCAGATGGTGCTGCGGATCAACTTAGAGCTTTGTGTATGTTAGACAAACACTGTACTACTGAGCTATATTCCCCCAGCCTGAGAACTCTGATAATCTGTCTCTGATAATATAGTTTGTACAGGTTTTTAAAAATCTTGTTAGAGTTTTCTTTGTAGAATGACAGACTAAAATTGCTGAGAAATATTAAACTATAGTCTTTTTCTTCCCCAAGGTTCTTTTAGAGCAAGATATATTTCATCGTTCTTTGATGGCTTGTTGTTTAGAAATTGTGCTTTTTGCCTATAGTTCACCACGTACTTTTCCTTGGATTATTGAAATTCTCAACTTACAGCCATTTTATTTTTATAAGGTGAGATGATAACAAAATTCTGTTATTATGTACTTCATATAAACATTATGTTTATCTTAGTGCTGAAGGAACACAGTCATGATGTCTACAAAAATATTTCCAGAGGTGTTCGAATGATATACACTCCTGTTAGGTGGAATCAAGGTAAAAGGAAAAGGGTGAGGGTGAGGGTGAGGGTATTGGTAAATGATGACAGTTTCACGCCTTCAGTTCTTTTTCCATGACTGACTTGTAAATGTGACCAGGTGCTGATTAACTTCAAATTTCTCATATTTATAAATGATCCTATTAAATAGATATAGACTGAAAAACAAAAATACTTTCTCCAAGGCGAAAGAAAAGGTCTAAAACTGATTATGGTGGTCAGGAGATGTATTTCAGTGGTAGAGCGCTTACCTAGCATTCTCGAGAGCCTGGGTTTAGTCTCAGCATTGCAAAAAAGAAATAGAGGAGGGGAAAAAAGGAGAAAAATAAACTGATTGTGGTGATGGTCTAGTTAATGAAGGGAGAACAGATCATGCTTCTTTCCCAAACTTGAGATAATTCAGTCTGACTTATCTTTTTTTTGCTAGAACTATTTTTATTAGCTTCTCTCTTACAAAACAGGCCATAAGTACTGAACTACATGATCACAATCAATAATAGTTAATGGTATCTAGTGTCCAAATGTAAGACTAATGCTACTGTTACATTTATTGGCATGTTTTAGTTCATACATTTAGCTATGCTAATTTTATTTATTTATTTATTTTTGTCTGGTACTGGGAATTGAACTCAGGACCTTGTGCTTGCCAGGTAGCCACAGTGCCACTGAGATACATCCCCAGCCCAACTATGCTAGTTTTAGATTACTGATGATAGAAATATTAATTTGAAGAATTAAATGTTTACACCTAAAATTTACCTGAATTAAAGTTGTAGAAAACATAGTCATTGGGAAGCTTATGTGTTTGAATTGTTGACTGTGATTAAAATATTTATAGGTGGGCGGGGGATTTAGCTCAGTGGTTCTGGCGCCTGCCTCGCAAGCACAAGGTCCTGAGGTCGATCCCCAGTACCAAAAAAAAAAAATATTTGTAGGTTTCTTAGGAGAAATTGATTCTATATAGTGTACTTACTTTAATGTTGATATGTGTATTCACATTTTCCAATTGGGAAAAAGTCTAGTTTTAGCAGTTTGGCTTTGGTTTTGTTTCGTTTTTCCAGTGCTAAGGATTGGACCCAGGCCTTGTACGCTGTACCTTTGACCTATACTTGTAGTCTGACATCTTGTTTTTATTGTAACATTCTAACTTCTTTCACCGTGATATTGCCCAGAGTGGCAGTCCAGCCCCTGACTGAAGTGTAACAGTCAACAGTACTGGCCATCTGCAGCAGCTTCTTGAACACAGTGGCTAATGCAGTGCCAGTGACTCTGGGGTCATCTCTGAGACCCCTGTAGTTAGGTTCTAGTACCCTGCCCAGTATACGACACAGGCCTGAGAATAAAACACTAAGAGTCACAACTAGGAGAAACAGCAGGGAGCCAGGACGACCAATACCGGTGCAACCAACAAAGGCACTGCCAGTCCCAGGCACTGACTTTTTTTTTTGGTACCGGGGATTGAACTTGGTCCTTGGGCTTGCACAGCAGGCAGCGAAACCACTGAGTTAAATCCCTGGCCCCAGGCACTAACTTTTATCAGTAATCAATTGGGGTAAAGGCAAGCCATGTACAATTTCTATGGAAATTAATGGAAACAAGGCTCATAAAGGACAAGACAGAGCATTCTTGAATTAGGAACAGAATAAACTATATGGTTGTAATTAGAACATTGTCCTTCTGGTCAGAAGGTTTTAGTTGTGAGAGTGGAATTTAAGTGTGAGTTACTCTGACCTTGGCACGTAGCCTTAGGCCAGACTCATTTCTCAAAACAAGCCAACTGTGGGATTCTCTTTACAGCCTGCTTTGGGCATTATCAATGTTACGGTCCTGGGGCCAGGGATTTAGCTCAGTGGTTTCACCACGTGCCTTGCAAGGACAAGGTCCAGAGTTCAATCCTTGGTACCAAAAAAAAATTATGGTCCTCTGCAGAGGCATGAATGAGGCACACTTGCGCAAAGCCATAGCAGCCTGTCATCTTGAAAGGAACAATAAAGAACTTATAAACTTATAAACAATAAAGAACAATAAAGAACAATCATGTTTCTTCAGCATGACCTTTAGTAGCTACCTATCTCATTGGAGCACTTAATACCCAGACTGATAGGATACTGTAGTCCCTAGAGGCACAAATGCATTAAACCTAGTCAGTCTGCTTTTGCATCAATATAACCTTCAAAGTTTCATCCTTCAGGGATGGCATCAGAAAAAATAATCTCAGGGCCAGGGATTTAGCTCAGTGGTGCCACCGCCTGCTTTGCAAGCACAAGGTTCTGAGTTTGATCCCCGGTACAAAAAAAAAAAGAAGTAATCTCAGATTCTTTAATGTGTAGGAAAGAAATACGTCTCCTCCAGATACTTGAACTTTGTGTCCTTGATCAAAGGGGCCCAGCTTGGTGATGGGGATCCACTTTGTCCTCAACCTTGTCTCTATAAGATCGTTGACTTAAACCCCAAATGTTACTATGGAAGGCAACTCAGAAGTTGCGGTGGCTTTCCATTCCTGGGCCTCCTGGCCATCTCCTACACCAGAGTCATTCACCATTTGGTATTTATGCTGAAAAAACCACACCGTTAATTTTAAGTAGTTCATTCATTCTGTTCTTTAGAGAAATTGGGAGGGTTAATCTAGGATAGGGTAATAAGAACTGGACTAGAAACCCAGGCCCTGACTCTTGGGGTGTTTAACAATTTTTACTTATCATTGCCTCGGTTTTTTATGTATAAAATAAGACCAAAAAACCAGAAATGTATGTGAAAATGTTTTAAAGACCTTAAAAGCTGCTTTATAAATTAAAAGATACTAGCACATCACAAAATTATGGCTCAGAGATAACTTTGGTTCTGTTACAGTGAAACTGAAGCAAGTTATGCTTGAAAACTCAGACTAGAGCTCATTGTTTGAAACCACATTATCTTTTCAACTTTCTCCTCTCCAGGTTATTGAGGTGGTGATTCGCTCAGAGGAGGGACTCTCCAGGGACATGGTGAAACACCTGAACAGCATTGAAGAACAGATTTTAGAGAGTTTAGCATGGAGTCACAATTCTGCTCTGTGGGAAGCTCTCTTGGCTTCTGGAAACAAAATCCCTACCTGTGAAGAAGTGAGTAAGGGCAAGGCTAATAATCCAATGATTTCAAAAATCACAGCTTTCTTGTGCTATTATTCATGTACCATAAAATTCATCAGTTTAAAGTGTACAGTTCAGCAGATTCCAGTGTATAGATAGGTACAACTGTCAACACAATTTTAGAATGTATTCATTACCTCAGTGGGAAACCAACACCCTTTATTTTTTTATTTTTTTATTTATTTATTAAA